TTAGGAACAAGAAAATTGCTTCCAACGTTTGCTGAAAAATGAAGGAATCTTTAGAAACGCTGAGCATGGAAGCAAAGAACATCCTACCCAATTCTGCGACTTCACACTGCGCGATATGGCTTTGTACTAAATGTCCATTCATCTCGTCTCCATCGAAATCGGCATTATAAGCTTTGCATGGAGCGTAATTCATTCGCAAGGCACGTTGACCGGTGATCACTCGGGCTCTGAAATCCAAAGAATTTCTCGAAAACAGCCAGGATTTCTAGAAGAGAATAGGACATACCGATGCCCTTGTATAGAAGGCTTGTGAAGCGATGGTTGACGGTTCATCATCATCATATCGCCGTTACGCAAATGACGCAATACCTTTGAAAACAGTGTTACAATTTGGCACGTACTTGAATCTTATAAATTTATCCTAATCGATCCACTGCTATGAAAACCAAAGAATTGTATTCTGAATGTACCTTCATGGGTTGACGAAGCTTGTCGGTGTTAGCCGGCTCCAATTGTGACGAAATACCTACTCGCTTATATCGAGCTCCAGGTTCGACTGAATCTGCTAGTAACACTTGTTTTCTACCCGTATCAGACACAACGAAATTCGCTCTGAAACTCGAATTTACAGACTTCGTATAGTGGTAGTAGAAGCTTCATGGAAACTATTTATTTCACACACTCACCCAGGATGGACAGCGGGGCCGTTAGCCACTAGTTTTCGCATGTGCTTCTTGTTGAAAAGATTCACTGGCTCCGTAAACGTAAGTTTTTTGGCAAAGATTTCTGGTATTCCGATTTCATCTATGTCGAGATAAGGATCAGGTGTGATCACAGACCTGGAAAGAAGGTAGTTCATTCTTGTCGATGAACCCACTTTCCCATGCGATTTTCAAGCAACCGTACTCTCCTCCTCCTGTAGCCCAAACTGCACAAGCAGAAGCACTCAAGTCCTACAAAATGGCCCACTGGTTTGTATTGAAATCAAATCGTCTTCGTAAGTAATATGGGGTGCCCAACTCGTGAAACAAAAACGTCAATTATCGTGGTTCACCTAAGTAGCATTTTACTTCCCCTACAGCTGCTACAGAAGACATGGTGAGCTCTAAAATAAATGTATAAGCGCTGGTTCAGGTAAACCCAAAGGCGCATTCCACAACGGCAGGATGGGCTGTAGTTTTCAAGTATGAGGCAATATCAGGTGCTGTGTGACCTAATAATTGAAGAAAGCAAAAATAACGCCAAGAAATTCTTCTCTATAACTGATCAACGGCATTGTACAACCAACGGCGAGGAGTCTGCCTGTCCGGACGATAAACTCTCGCGACAAAAGAACGACTGAACAGGAAGAATGATGGAAGAGGAAGATGAGACAGATGCAGACAGGACAGATAGATATGTCAGACAGGGCGGAACAGACAGCCTCTCAAGTCGCTTCCAAATCGCCTACTGACACAGTGACGACAATCGTCTGCTCTATCCAAAGTATGAGAAGCAGCCAACAAGAGAATCGGAGAGATAGCCATTCTGATTGAAACCGCAATTGACCTCGTTAACCGTCAACTGCCCACCCCAGACATACATATGAGGTTGACAACTATAAGGATGTGGTGTCCCGATGTTGAAGCTTTTTCTCTATTATGGAGATAACACTCAAAACACAGTTCTTTAAATGCATCATATTGTATGTAATGCCGATAATCATAAATACATCAGACAATGGAAATGCCGATATAACATAAATACATCAACAGAAAAACAAAGCTTATGAAGAGTATCGCATATACGTGGAAAGTACACTGGTCTGCAACCAACCTGCAAGCGAAGTTCACACGTTTTCCCATCATGTTCATTCTGAAAAGTCCTTGCTTCTTCTCCAGAATTTGCTTGATTCCAGGAATTCTATTCTGGTCGTGTCTATCAAGCTCCTGCAAACAACTACTGTAGCTCACTAAAAAATACTTCTTAGCCACTTGAAGGACCCATGATACCTCGTCGTAAATAGCATTAACCCGTTGCTGAAGCTGTAAATAGGCGTTATGCATTCTTGCATTCATTGTTTTTCCTTGTGTCCTATTCGTGATTAGTTCCATCAGTTTGGGGCTCTTTTCGCCATTGAGGACCAGCGCGACAGCCTGGAATTGTACAGGACGGGTAAAGTTAGTATTTCATATCAGAAATAGGTAGATGTGATCCCACTTTTATTGTCTCTGCGGCTTCAAGTACACGTCGAAGGTTGACGGACTGAGGATTCTCATATCTTTCACCTTTGAATAATCGAATCGGACGGAATTTCGTTGGTGGCACCATGATCAGCTCGCAGAACAATCCATCAAGAGGGCAAAGACCGCCGGCCTATAAGTGATGCACTTCACAGCATACGACTCTGGCATTGATACTATTAACTTACTCCTTCGTCAACTAGCATTGGAAATAGTTTCAGCAATAACTTTCCTTCGGTTTTGAACAGAAGGCGAAAGTGTTCTCGAACTTCGGCTGCACGCCAGGCGAGCTTAATGCACGAAATAAAATTACGGAAATGCAAGTAAAGAGCCTTCTAAAGGCTGATTGACTAAACGTCCATATGAACTCAGGTAAAGTAACACACCTTCTCACATGCGCCACTTTGAACCGATCTCATCTGCAACTCTAATGCACCCTCAGATACCTCTGCAGTTCCATAGGCGGTATCATTCAACATAGTTGTTTTGTTGTCTGTGAAAATATATATTAAGAATAGTTCCTCATAAAAGACATGCGAAATTGACGCTACCTTTTTCATCACCTGAAGAATCAACCTCCTCTTCTATATCTTCGCCTTCAAATCCGCTCTTGTAAATGTCCAACTACAAACAAAAAGAAACAATAGGTGCTTCACAACGCAAATACCTACAGTAGCGGTCAAAAGTGTTCGCCGAAATGGTTTTTCGTGCTCCTCTTTTCTTTTGCCAGAAAAAAATCAGTGGTGATTTCGGAACTTTTTCTTTGAATATCCTGATTCTTTAGACCGACGTCATAGTCGGCGACGGACCCGTCATAGTCGGCGACGGACCAAGCGATGGATCGCGATCGTCCAGCGCTGGTCCGTCGCTATACGAAGTTATCCTTAGGACTTGAGGATATAAAAACACTAGAAACATAGTATATCAATCTTTGGAGAGTGTTGCTCAAGTGAGAAAAAATAATGCACGAGAAATCATTTCGGCGAACACTTTTGACCGCTACTGTATATGACTTTCGCCTTTGTATTCGATCTTCGTCGAGAAGTTTACGCATGACTCCATGCATTTACAAATAAAATTGACAAAGCAAAGACTAAACCAATCTTGGTGTTATACCTTTTTTCTTTTCTTGCCATGCACTGTGAAGTCAATAAGAACACATCGTGCACCGTCGTTGCGTACTTGTCCGTTAAATCCTTTGCAGAGAGGACAACGAGCTTTGCGTTTGAACTGTAACACGCAGCTATATGATGATTAAGGCCTTATATTGAAGTGATAAAAAAAAATAATAGCATAGATCATGCGCTGATCAATCAATATTGAGAGTGCCATCCGTCGCACTTTTGTTTGAAATCGTAGTGGAAATGGATCGCGTTGCTCCATAAAAAGACTCCCAGAGTCTATCAATACCGCGGACACGGTTTTTTGTCCTATTAGATTAAGCTCTTACCAATTAACCAAAACCGGGTGAGCAAAAGCCTTGAACGGCCAGAACACGATCTGATCCAAGAAGTGTAACCGTGCGAGTGGAAGAGATGCAACTCGACACTTTCAACATTCTTACTGACGAACGCCGGCGAGTGGTTGTGGAATACGCGTTCAAACGGTGGAGCGCCGGGCTTCTAAGGACGAACGTTACGCCGATTCAATAGACGTTTCGCCTATCAACCTCGTATGGCACATACAACAAATTCAAACAAGAACTACTCAAACTCGCTGTTGAGGAAATGCTAAGTTGATGAAGTAAGACTTACCAAGTGATCTCTTAGGAAGTTCTTAATTACAGTCTTCCGAAGATCCACAGTATTTTTACACGGTGTTTCAGCGGAAAGACCAGACAGCGGTCGGCCTGCACGATCAGAAATCAATTTGTCAAGTTCAGCAAACATTTGCAGTTCCTCCTCCTCTGTCATGAACACAGCTGAAATTGAAGTATATCAAATACCACTTGAATGTATACCTAAAGAAGCCACAAAAAACCATGAATGATAAAAATTTGATTCTCAAAAATCTTACACAGCTGGGAGGCCCCATATTTGTCCTTGAACTCCATTTCTATTTCAGGTGCAAGATGTGGTACACCCAATTCAAAGCACCTATAGTAAACGCTCTATTGAAGAAACCAAAAGCGAGGCACGGAGTGACAAATTCAAATAAAACAGAGACTTCATCACCTCAACTGCGCGAGCAACACTTTTGTAGCTATACCATCAGTTCCGCAAGTGAACCGGTGACATTGCACACATGAGCCTTTCAGGAGCTGAAACAATGTTTAGTATATGTAGCTGATCAACTTGTGACTCACATGGTACTACGTTGTAACAATGATGATTACACCTGAAACTAGAACCCAACCTTCATTTTCAGGTCCCAACATCAAGGCAAGGGTTGAGGTTGCTAGCATACTTTGCGCCAGTGTAGAAATGTAGTGCGGATTGTGTATCAAAGGATGGCTCTTCAAGCGCTAGTCTCACAGATTATGCACCGGTATTCTACATATAATGAGGCTCCTCGCATTTTCCCCACCATCCGCGCTAAGGCCGACGTCATACTTTGCGATTCGATTAGCGATTCGCTCGGTTCGCTAGCGAATCGAGCGAATCGCTAATCGAATCGCAAAGTATGACGTCGGCCTAAGGCTGGTGTCGCAATCCGTCGCTGATTTTCGCGATTTGCGCGAAACCTGCGACGGATCGCAAAAATTGCAAGTGTGTGAACATTTGAAACACTGAATATGAAACAAGTGGAATCATGAGCAGTCGTCATTCAGCCATCACTATCAAGCAGAAGTGGCGGCAGGATTGGAGAACACCTTGCAGTATTGATCGGGCACTTGTGATTTCCGTGACCCGTCGCGTGAATCGCGCAAATCGCGCAAATCAGCGAAACCTGCGACGGATCGCGGACTCTGACACCAGCCTAACCGCCCATAGCATTCGACACTGGCGCCATGTATGAAAGCAATCAAAATAGGAATTCATCAACCTTTTAGGTCTCGGAGCTCCCCCTCCGAAACGACTTCATGTCATACTAATTTTTAACGTTTTCTAACACAACTGTAAAGCTAAGAAACTTGGTAGACTCACATTGAAGCAGAAGCTGTAGAGAATCGGGTTGAAAACGGGAACATCTAACCGAATATGCCCAAAATGACCTGTAAATGGGGTTTCGACATGAAAGTTCGCCGTCCTTAACTTTCGTTCTTGTCTACATGAGCCTATGCAGTTAAGATAAAACCTTGGACGAATACACGAAGAGAGAATGTTTGCGACATTAAACGCATGACTAAAAGAAGACTTCCTATGAGTACGGACACTGCAAGTGAAATAGTCCTTACCGGGACAATGCACCTCATACTGATGACAGGTTTCACATCGATCTCGTGGTTCTGTTGGGCCAAGCGCAGGATCATACAGTCCACCTCGAATAGCATGACCAACCTTAAATTACAAGGGAAACGATGTTCAAAGAATAAAATAGCACAAAAGCGAGACTAAAAGGAAACAACCTCATCGAAGCTTCGCGTTTGAGTAATACGTAATACACTCAGCTTCTCTATTTCATGCGGGAAATAATTTCGCAGTTTCAGCTTGTCAAACTGCATATATGGCTCATCACCAGATTTGACCGTGGTTAAGCCATCCATGATCCTGGAAAAAGTCTGAAACTATTCTCAGAAGGACAATTTTTGGAAAGACACGAAAAAGAAAACAAACACAGTTTTATTGAAGAGAAATAGACAAGCAAACCTTCCACGAAAAACCCTTCCAGCAACCACTTTTGCGGATACAGTTCTTCAGTTTGTGTGCAATGGCACCACCTGCACCACCTTTCCGTAAAAAAGGTTAACCCAGTCTGCTTTTGACTGTTCTTACGAATTACACGAACTGCTCTCCTCTTCCAAGTCTTTTAAAACTTCACTGTTCCTGGAACCTTGGGAAATTCCTGATAATTGTCGGTTTTTGTCTGAGCTTTCGAATTAAGTCCTCTCAACCGAAGTAGAAGTTTGATAGACGTTTGTGTTAACTGTAGAACCCTTTGCAAAGGGCCTCATCCAGTCTCTCTTAATTTGCCTTGGAATGGCCTCTAACTTGTTCAAGGATGATCTCTCGATCGGCCCCTACTCCCCATCGTGACATTCACGATGTTTTTGGTTAAAGCAAAACAGGAGCATCATGTGTAATAAGGAGACTATCTTGTCAGCTTACATTGCAAAGGTGATCTTGCTCATACGTTTTCTTACTTGTTTCTATGCTCGCACCCTCTTCTGCCTCACCTTCGCCTTAGGGTGGGGTTAAGTTACGGTTAGGTTAAGGTTAGGTTCGATATCGTGGTTAAGGGAGGATTACAGCCAAGGTTGAGGGTGTCTTCGAAGGGCCAGTGTGAAGCATTGCTTTGCGATTTCAGCGATTCCAACAATTTCAGTAATCGCTAGAATCGCGGAAGTGCTGCAAGTCGCGAAGTCTGATTTCAGGCCGAGATCCGACCGTTTTCCACAATATTTACAGTTGGCCTGGTCCGCCCACCGCTCGATAGTACAGGTAGCCCAGCAGAGTGCCTTATTTGAACACTTGTAACACGATAACATTGAATATGAAACAAGTAGAATCATGAACAGTCATCATTCAACCAGCAGAAATGGCGGCGGGATTGGAGAGCACCTTGCAGTATTGATCGGGGCACTTGTGATTTCTGTGATCCGTCGCGCGATTCGCGCGAATCGCGCACGGATCGCGGACTCTGACACCAGCCTGAGCATCGCGCTTCCTATGTTATTTTCTCGGAATGAAGCCAAAGTTTTCAAGTTTATTTTTCGATTTTTTTTGCTTGTCCAAATTCTTGCGACTTTTGCGAATCGCTCGATGTATAGCGGACTCTGGCACTAGCTTTACTTCCCACACTTCTTTACTTTTTCATACTTCTTTACTTTTCATTTTCCCTTTTCCTTCTCTGAACTTTTCCCCACTCCAGTTGGCTCATCGGCCCTCACCCCTGCAGTGGCGGTTTTCCCTGTTGCCTAATAGATTCCGTTTTTCGCGTATTTAGCCGCTGCTTTCAGGAGTGTGCAAAATTGCGTGTTACCATAGCCTAGCACGACATAGCTGCCTGCCTTTCCGTTCGGCTTGCCCTTTTTCACCATTTTTCATAGATTTTCATTCAAAGACGTTATGGTGTATTTTCTTCATTGGCCGAA